GATATTTCTTTTGAGAGCGCATCATTTGTAAGTTCTCACCTGCTACTGACTAACTTTAAAATTTAACAGATTCTTTACATGATTTAATTGTGGAAGTAAATAATTATTGTCCTTTTTTCTTGTTTTGTGTTTGGTCTTATTTTTTATTCTTGTGACCGTAAGTTATGCCTTGGTGATTTTCGGTGCATACTTATTAAGTAAAGAAGCTCTTAATCATACCAGTGGAACTCCTTTTGCCATCTTAAAGAAGACACCAGAAACATCAAGGTAATTTAATCACTTTTTACTCATTGCTTTTAGATACAATTTCATAAGTTCAAAAACTAATAATAATAACAAATAAATAAATCAGAGTCAATTATATAGTTTTTATCTAACTTGTGATTTTAAAAATAATATGTTCACACTCATAACTTATAACAAAATAAGTTATGAGTGTGCACATATTAATTATCTTCACATAATATTAATGATAATAATAATTATTGAAAGAATAAAAAGTAAAAGGCATGTTCCATTAGAAGAAAATTTTTGAGCTTATGATAGAGAGAATATGTGACCAAATATTCAGAAAAAAACTGGTTGTGTAGTTATAAAGAAGTGGGCATGCATGCATAAAATGGTGAAAAATAGCATATGTTGACTTTTTTATGAAATTTGATGGAAACCTAATGTTACATGGAAAATCTGAGTAGAATATTTGGAAAAACAAAATTTAATAAATCATATAAATTTCAAGAAGAAAATATGCAGAAACAGAACAAAAATGATAAAAAAAAGTGAAAAAAAGTTGTTTAGTTAATTAGGGTACATGAATATATTATATTATTATATATGCAATACCTGCTTCCAATGGTTGCATAGAGTGTGCAAGAATGGATGATCTTTCTGAAAATAGTAGTCAAGATGGCTCAGATAAGGTAACTTACGTCAAAAAAGGTCACAAAGCAACACGGATGAAAGACATACAAATGTCAGATGGAGAAAAGAAACCTGTTACATTCAATCGTTATTTTGAGGCAAACGGGCCAAATCCAGAAACTAAGAGCAAGTTTAATAGCTACATCGCCGTTCTAGGACGTAGCAAAATCAGTATCTTGATACCGGACTGGAGAAAAGTGACTGATAAGAATAAAGAGCAAATTTGGCAAGCTTTATCGGTATGATTTATCTATTTTATAAAAACACAATAGTTGGTAATTGAATGCTTCAATGATTTATTGGGTTATACCTGTTATGTTTTTAAAATTTTAATAATTAAACGTTAATTATTTTTTTATGAATCTTTATATTTTTTAGGAGCAGTACGATGTGCCAGATAAAAATAAATTGAGAACGAGAGTGTTTTCACGTGCTGGGGATGCTTGGAGGGCTTTCAAAACTAAGCTCACTAGAGAATACGTATTTGGAGAAAAGATTGGTGTGCTCCCATATGACGATATTTACCCTTTTCTGGATGCAGACACTTGGAAGGCTTTTGTTGCGTCCCGTCAAACTCCTGAATTCTTGGTAAGTTAATTATTATCATGAACATAAATAATTTCGAGTCTCGTACATTTGGCCATACATTTAAAGTTAAATTGTTTGGGGACATTTATATTCAAAAGTGCGTGAAGCTATTGTTTCTGTTAACTTGTTTGATCTTTATATAAGGATTGTTTGAGAGAAAATAAATGATAAGTGGTTATTTGGGATATTGAGTTGTTATGCTTGATTGTGTTTTTTAATCTATATGTATGTAGGAAATCATAAAAAAGGCTCAGGAGTCGCAATCATATAATCTAAGTCCGCACATATTATCTCGTGGAGGCTACGATCTTTTGATGCAAAAGATTATGGACGAGAAATACAGGGCAAGAAAAGAGGCCTCCACTGATCAATCGGAAATTATTCCACCCCCATCTCCTCCTTCTCGTCATGAATTATGGAAAAGAGCTCGTATAACAAAGAAAGGAGATTATGTCTCAAAGGAAGCCAAAATTGTTGCTGACAAAATTGTAAGTGACGTGTTTTTATATTTTACGTTCCTCGTACATTCATGAATGGATAAATACTCTGTAAATTCTTCAAACATTTCATGCAGGATTCTTTAGAAGAACAATGCACTCAGGGCAGTTTCAAACCTGTTGGGAGAAAACGATATACTCGCAACAGCGGTAGGAAAGACTGAGCATCCCGGGCGTGTGAGGGGAGTGGGTAAAGGTGTTGGGATCAAGGACTTCTTTGGGCCGTTGAGCTGTTCAAGTGTAGGGAAAGATATGGTCTCACGAGATGAGATGGAAACTATCATCAGTCGTAGGATTGACGAAGTGAAAGACGAATGGAAAAAAGAAATAATGATGATGATTGGCAAAGGCTCTTCGATTGACCATAGTCCTGATTCTCCGAGGATCCAAAGCACTACAGAGAGTTGTGCTCCAAATGTGTTATCATTGGATGAACTTAGCGAGGATAAAGAATGCGAGTTGTATGTGGAGAACCCACAAAAAATTTTGGTTGCATACGGACGTATCCATAACCTTGGGCCAACTATTCACCACAAGAAGATGAATAAGGATGAAGTGAGGGTTGTCGTATTACGTGTAATCGTTGGAGATGCGCTCCTGCCATGCCCGACAGAGGAGGTCACAACCGTAGAAGAAGCGCCAAATAACTTCATTACTTGGCCTCGTAGGTTGGTTAAAGGTGCAAATGCTAAGGTAATTCTAACCTAGTCTTGAGTGTTTTTTGGTTCGTACGAGTTACAAAATAAATCATTTTATGAGTAACTCATAAATTTACATTCTCTTGCAAATTTTACATGAATAAATTTCTCATTCATAGGATAAATTTCAGTCGAAGCCAGTGACACCAAAACCGATTATCGAACCTAAGACAGATGCCTTGACAACTTTGTGGATGGCGGCATGTTATATAAAAAATCCAATTTGCATAAATATGCCGACTGCGATTTTCAGAGAGAAAAGAGATTTGTACATATTTCAGAAGGACATAATGGAGTTGTTGCAAAGTCAAAAACTTTGCATTTCTATCATTGAATTCTTCAACATGTAAGTATTTCTTATCATTTTTGTCTGATTTTTATCTGCAATCTGAGGTAATAATTTTATGTTTTAAATGCTTAATTCAATAATCTTTAATAATTTAGTATTGTATATACATTATTCACTATATTTGTTTCTAAAAATTATTTATTTTCTGAGTTACCACAGGTATCTCTATAATGTGCTGAAACAATCCGAGAAAGAAAAAAAGTTTTGATTTTTGTGCCCGCTCAAAATTCAAACAAGGGGCAATAGTAAGGAAGAGATAGAAGGGTATATTGCGAGAAGAATGGAAGAAGAAAATTACGAGTGTATCTTTGCACCTTACATTAGCGAGTAAGAATATAAAAACATATAAAATTGACTTTATATGTGTTTGTACTGTTTTTGTCGTGATTTTTATTATTATTTTGTCATTCTTTTTCTTA